TGAAGTATCCCCTAATTTCACTTTCGCCAACTGGGTATCCGCGGGAGAATGTAATAAATATGGTTCGATCGTCATGAGAGACCTGAGCGTTGGGTTTCCATGGTTGGGCGCGGGGATTCAAGCTTGACTCTCCAGCAACCACATTTCGACCAGAACCAGACGACCCACTTGCCCTTGCCTGCTGCGCGATATCCTCAAAAGCTCTTGCCAAGACATCGTTAACCGTCTTCGTGATGGCTTGAACTGCAGAAATCCTGCGCTCATGGACAAGCTGGAAAGAAATRTTCCTRTTCATGAGCCCAGAAGTCAGGGGAGTATCGTTGCTGTTTCGCGAACTGGGACGAGTCACGTTCACAGAGACATAATTCAAGCAAGAAGCTGCTTCTTCTGCTAATACATTAACCAYTGAGTCTGGTAGCGGCAACATCTTCAAGATTATGTTGGGGTATCCCAACTCTTCCAGCCATATCCAGAATGCAATCACACGCATTGATACGGCGACGTCTCGCCGGAGATTGATGACCAGCCTGCTGAAGATCTCTCTATCTATTGCATGGAATGATTTGAGTTCCTCGGTGGTGATCATAAAGTAATCCATGGCGCCRGAGAGTGTCTGAGAACCGATCTTGCAAGTGCAGAAAGTATGCCGAAGATAACACCACACACTAAACTTGAATACTTGATGGAGAGGGTGGTCGATTGGGTCGAATGTTATATGGAGACGAGAGCGGGTGATATTGATGACCTTTCGATGGTGGCTTTTAGTGCCAAACACCATTTCGAAGAGGTCGGTCTGAAACTCTGAGTCAGAAGAAACGCCGAGCTTCTGCTCTGCGATGGTTGGAGAGATGCGACGGTTGGAAGGACATGAGACATGGTCGTTAATCGTTATGTCTGTTGATGAAATCGGAAGTTGGTAACTCTTTTAATTTGGCGGGAAAGGATAGGCAACGGCTAGTATCTTTGAACTGAATTTCCGATTTTACAATAGTACCCCCATTTTCTCTTTTCTTCCGCTGGAACGTGGGTTTTGGTCTTGGTCTAATAAAAACGTGTGAGCGCGCCCCACACCACATCCCAACCGTGGATTGGGAACATCTCCCATGGCATGCACGAGAGATGAAGCCAATGAAAGCTGGGATGTGCATGTGGGGGCGCGTTCTGTGGTGATTGTGGGCCTTATGACCTCCACCTTTGGCCTTACAAGCTCGGTGGTATAGCCTTCGACGAAAACCATGAAATCCAGTTAAGATCTGCGCCCCACAACGGGGCGCCCCACAGTGTCTCACAGAACATCCCTGCCGTGTTTTGGGAACGGGTTAACTTTGGCTGTTGGGGTCCAAGGGCATAGGCTGTTGAGACAGTTTCTAGGCTGTGCATGTTTTGGGCAGCTCACCTATTCATGCCCATGCTTTGGTTTTTAGTAAAAATAAATTAATATATAATTACTAACTTACTCATTCTCATGGTAACGTGGCAGTCCCAGAAATTCCCTCAACAGTATAGGCAGTTGGGCCCCAACAGCTAAAGTTTTTCCCTTGGGTACATCTCCCGAGACTGGTACTATCATCACGAGATGTTCCCAATGCACGGCGGGGTTGTGTTGTGGGACAGTGTGGAGCGCCCCCTTGTGGGGTGCAGATGTGAAATCCTTAAAATCATGACCTTTATGCATTTTGTGACCCCATCTTAACGTCAAATAATTGGGGCTGTCAACTACAGGTGCAAATGGATCGCACGATCCGATCCGAATCGAGAATATCTGATCCGATGTGTTATATATTTATAAATATAAATATAAATATATAATACACATATATTATTTATTTTTTTTTATAAAAAAAGCATGTATATATGATAAAAAATAATTAAAAAATACTTATATTTTTTATTTATTTAAATTGATATATTTTATTTTTTCTTTTAATAATTTATTAATTTAAAAAAATAAGTTGGATCAAATCAGATCCAAATATTCAAAGATCAAATAGGATTCGAATTCAGATCGACTCCTATCAGATCCATTCGGATCGGATTTGACATGAACAGTGTAGATTCAATCCTCACAAAATTAAATTGTGCTGACACCGTTCTTAGAAAAATACTTTTCAGCCAAGCATTGAGAATATCTCCATTCTTGTATCTTTTTATTTAAGGAGATATTTTTAATATATACACGGCTGAAAAGGCTGTGAGAACTCAGAGTGGACACAATTTGGTGAGCGGGTTAGGTCTGGTTTGGGATGCACCCATTTTTAATTGGGACAAAATCATTAGACTTAGAACCGTTTCATTTTTTAATCAGGATAACCGGATCTGACTCGATTAGACCTGATTATACTAACATCTATATTTATCTATGTTAATAGTAACTTAAAACTTCAATTTTGATTATACAACCTTAACAAAAATGACAATCAAATATTTTTAACCAAAATTATCATATATGTTATTTATCAAATTTATCGTTTAGACATAAAATATAATAAAAATTACAATAAAATTAAGAAACCTATATATATATTATCATAGTCAGTTTGGGTCTTAATCATTTTGGAACAATCAAGAACCAGAACCAATACAATAAGCGCTGACCCATTGACATCCCTAAACCAGCCAGTAGGCATAACAGATTTTTCTACATCCAGATTAGGGGTGTTTACATTAAATGTCAAACCGACCAAACCGAACCGAACCGAATCAAACCGATCTTATATGTTTAATTAATTATTAATTAATCCCTACTGGCCTATATGTTAAACGTTGATATATTTTATTGGTGTTTTGTTTGAACTTTGAAAAAAATTGGTTATTTATGATAAAAACATAAAAGTAAACCAATATAAATATAATACAAGGGTACAATATTTAATTCAGTTCTGTATAAATTTAAATATATATATTGACAAAAAAATCAGTTTTGCACAAAAACTAATCGATTTAAATATATATTTTGACTTAGCATAAAAACTAAAAACAAATATACTTAAATATAAATAGATATTTTAGTTTAAAATATATATATAAACCAACTAAATTTATAAACTGACTCTTCATGACTCAAACTGACCCAACCCGACCTGTGAACACACCTAATTCAAATCGCACTTAAAAATTAATATATTTCTATTGTTGACCTCATAATCCACATAATTTATTCTAAAAAACAAATATAAATAACAAAAAAGACTTTTTTTTTGTAAAACCAATAAGAAAAGTGATGACCTTCTTCAAGCAAATGGCTTTAAATCTCTTTTGGTAGTATCCATTTTCTAATAATTAAATTGAAATGATGTAAGCTGATGCAAATAATTAAAATCAATATTACTGTAAATCTCTTGGTTTGGTTTGGTTCAGTAGAAAGCAAGATTTACAATATAGACACAATAGGGAGGATGTATCATCCATTTCCATATGGCAAAATCTATGATATAGAAAAAGTAACTTTTCCATATCATATCGGATGATATGGACCAATCAACATTCCACTTGTCTGTTTCAGTGAATACGGGTTAAACGTCACCCTCCCCCTTCTCTCTTTCCATCCAAATTCCAACCCCATGCCGTGCGTGGCTAAACCACTCTCCCATTTCAAAAGCAACTGCCTCAATTGTTCATTTCAATAGTGGTTGGTCCTATTTCGATTCCATATTTCAGGCAAACACAATTGCTCACTGGCAAAGCATTACGAAAAGCCTGAACAATTACTAGAAGACTTTGAGAGATAATTAGATGAGTTCTAAAAGTTTAAATATGACAATGCAATTAAATTTTTCCTCCAACATCATCAGTCCGCAAAGTGATCACTCAGATATTCTCGTTCATAAATGTTCATCCATTTAACAAGTAATTTTGATTGGAATTTTTGGATTTGAATACATTTCAACTCAATGGCGTCTATTAGCAGTTTAGCACAGTTTTGCTGTTATTGGACATTCTATTCATTTTGGCAGTCTTCTTTTGCCTTGTGAGTGTTGTTCATTTAGCAATGGGGAGTATGTAAAAGTAGGATTGGCTGAGTTGGAGCAATGGCGTTATAATGCTACTGAAGAGGTAAGCATCAAACATGACCTCATAAATATTCTTTCCAATTCAATATATCTGATTTTTTTGCCTGGAAATTTTGTCTAAAAGCTCTGCTTTGTATTCAGTATGCAGGCTCCGCTTGGGATGAGTTGAAGCATATCAAACAGGCCGTTGGCTTCCTAGTATGACTTAATATCTTATCTCATACATATCTTCTTTTTCTAACTCTTGTATACGTGTTATCCAGGTCATACACCAAAAGCCCGAAAAGACCTTGAATGAGATAACAAAGGACCTTTGCCCAGTCTGTGACTCTTTTCTTTGCACCTCAAACTTCTATCCTAGATTTTTGTCATGTTTCAAACTTCACAGACTGGACCTGCTTCTTTCAGGTGCTTAGCATACAACAATTACATAGGATTAGTACAATGTACTGGGATGACAAATATGGTACACACAGTGTCCCTTCAGATGTAAGTCTTTCCAATTGGTTTTGAGTTGTACTGAGTCTACTGACATGTTGGTGTGATTCACATTTCTCAGTATCTAGTGTGTGTACCATATTTATGTACCACAGCGTGTGTTCCATGAGAGGTACAGACAATTAAAGCACTACTGATAGTTAGTTGTAAAAGACAAACAATAAACATATCGAAAGAAGAGATTTGGTATGCTTATTGCTTTATCCGCTGCATGTTTTCTTCTGGCTCTTGGCCATTTACTCTCTACACTAAAATATTGGTAGCCACTGGTGCATAGCAGACCTCATAAGCTCAGAAATCTGTTTACACAAAAAGAAAAATGCAAACAAAGAATAAAAGGGCACAATTTAGACAAAATTGTATTTCATTGATATATTCTTTGAAGCTTTACAAAAATATGGCCTCGGATGGGGGAGGTTTGAGCCCTTTACAAAAAAGTGACGAAGTAAAAGAAGAGAAGAGGTGTGAAGAAGGACGGACAGAAGGAGACCCCACGGCATGCGACCCTTCAACCTCCAATGTTTGCATTCCCCTCAGCCACCTTCGTCTGCATGGGCTGCTCTTCATTGGCTTCGCCCTCGGAGAGATATACCCCGTCGTCTGGCAAAGACTCCTCGGCCATTGGATCAGGTTGAATCCCCAGCCGACTAATGTCAAAGTCAGGCTGTAGGTATGTAGCGCTCCCTCATACCCTTAGAGAACATCAAGCATCAAGACTAATATCACAAAAGTGCATGTGAGCAACTCACAACCAACCCCCACGCTGTAATGAACCCGTAGCACACCAGCATCCTTGCGATGAACTCGCAATAATCGCGATAAGCCCGTGGTTCACCGAGTCAAGCTAGCATCAGAACCCAAAGAAACCATAGTCGAACCTTTCCGAGAGCCCCAAGCCCACCTGAACATGCGATGAAGCTACGCCCACTAAGGCGTGCGTTGAACTCATAGCCCGCAAACTCGCGAGACCCGGGTCAAGACAAACCCAGGCCGAGCCCATGGCGAGGCCCGCGTATGCCCGGAGACACGTAGAACCCACAACAGCAAAAGACGTAGTGAGCCACCACGGGGAGCTAGCTAGGCGCCACCT